TCTGTTGTTACATTGACGCAGGACAGACAATTGCAAGGTAAATGCAAATTCACACACTATTGCAGATGTCCTGTTTTAGGAACTTCTGCAAAGTGACCAGAGCGCTGTGGCTACTGGATGGTATAGAAATGACATGAAATGAATGAATAAGCATCGGCATTATAAATGAACACTCTGTTCACTAGCTAGGGCTGTTACAAGAGCATAAACATGGATGTGTGCCTCTGAAAACGCTCCAAAAAAGTTAAACACAAGCTTGTTTTTGGCTCATTTGCAATTCCAAGTTTGATTTGTGCAAATTTCCTCAACAGACTGAACCAGCTGTGGAAGAAAGATGAGCATCTGAGGATATATGCACGCGTTTGGGGGGACTTGAGCAAATCCACTGTTCATTCTCTGCTTGATTGGTTCAAGTTTCTCATTTGTACAGAGCAAGGGGGGATCATCCACAGAAATGGGAACTGGGCACAAGACGAGTGGTAACACGATATTCAGAGAATCCTCGCAGTCTTGAACATGCCTCCATCACCCACCTCTAATGCCGTTCTTCTGCGATCTGGTGCCATCTGGCACAGGGTGATGGGATTTGTAGTATGACATATCTGGAGGGCACCGTGTGGGGGAAGGCTGCTATACAGATTACAAGAGGTAATGTTCCAATTCTGTTGTTCAGGCCTCATATGAGGTGTCGTGTCCCATACTGGACACCACATTTTAAGAAGGGCAAGGAGAAATAGGAGGGGTTTAGAGGAAGGCCACTAGAATAGCAAGCTGCCTGGAAAACATAAGGAATGGTTGAAGGAGATGGATATATTTAGCTTGGAGAAAACAGAAGGAAGAGACATGCTAGCTGCCTGAAAAAATCTGAAGGTCTGTAGGCCAGGGGCAGACAGCAGGTAGACCTCCAGATTTGGACTTCAAGAAGATCCTGCCAGCATTGCCAAACTTAAGACCACTATGAGTTGCCCCAAAACCTATGGAGATGCCTTCCTGCACATCCCTTATACGGAGCAAACTAGCTTTCTGTTACTCCATAAAACAGCACCTAGCTATGGGTAGAAATTTCAAGGAAGTATGTTGAAATTGAACCTCAGAAGACACTTCTTAGCACTATGGGCTGTTTGACAGTGGGACAAGCTACTCTGGGCCTGGGGTTTGGGAGGGTTTCCCCTTCACTGCATTAGAGGCCAAATGGCCATCTGTCAGGAATGCTGTACTTGCATCTGGTATTGACAAGGTGGTAGGACTAGATGACCTTCAAGACCCTTCCAGCGCTAAACTCTCATAACTGTATCCTCTCCAACATTTCACATACAAAAAGCAGAACTTGCAGTTGCAGTGTAGTGGTTAGAACATCTGGAGAGGCCTGGTTTCACATCCCCTCTCATCCTGAAAGCTCAAAAGACTGACATTGAACTAATAATCTCATTATTTAGACTAATGTCCCTGCCAGGGTTGTTGTGAGGATAACATGGGACATACGGAGGAGATCAGGGGTGCTGCTTTGAGCTCCTTGGAGGAAAGGTGTGATATAAATAAAACCCAATTCTTCTACCAACGATTTATGCCTGAAGCACATCTGTTATCCATTACAGAAGTATCTATTCCACATGGTCTTCATTTACTTTGCAACAGGCTGTCCCCTACTGATTTAAAAAGAGGGTGTTTGTTCTTTTTTGGTTAAAGATAGCCTTGAAAAACAGAATTGACAATACGCCTTAGCAGCTGCTATCTGCAAAACTGCAGGCAATGCACCATTTGGGACCTTAATATACACCCACATGCCGTTACCTCAGAGGTGTCAAACCTGTTTCAGCCTGAGGGCCAAAATGACAGAGAACCTCTCAGGGGCCACATAACAGGAGTGGGCAGGCCAAAGTCAGAAAAGGGCAGGGCCAAAGCAGCAGCAACAAAACATGAAACATCCCTACATATTTTTGGCTTCTAACTCTTCCCGTAACTATGCCTTACGAGAGGTATTTCAGCTTTTCAAAATGGGGGCAATAAACTCCACAAAAGTCACCAAGCTACCCAAAGAGGATGGAGCCAGGAGGAAGTGTGAGTGAATGGGGAAGACCTGAGACATCCGACAAATTACAAGAGGTGGGGAAAACCACAAGGCACAGTAGGTCGACACAGTAGATTTAATTATGCAGACTGGGTGGAGATGGGTCTGTCATATGAAAGTGGTTGAATAAGCTTGGCCAATTTGGGACTGATAACTAGTGGTCCTTACTATTTGTTTTGTCTGCATACAGGTGAATAATTCAAGAGACCAAGGGAATGGATAAGCCTTAATGTCCAATAGTTGCTTGTAATGAATGGTAAAGGACTATCTTTCTCCTTTCCTCACCACTGCTCTGCACTGTGGTTCCGTGTTCAAAATCACAGATCCTGGCTCATCCAGCAATAACTAGGAAGCACGATTCATTTAGGGTACAATTCTCTGCAGGCTGGGGAATGTTTTAAATTGCAGGAATGATCTTTGTCTTAGCGCATGATGGGCTCTATTTTTGATGGCTTTATTGTCACATTCATAAGATCACACCTATGCATCAGTCAATGTATATTAAAATCAGCATGGTTCTGTACTAACAGCCATGAAAGAATCTGCATCTCATGAGTCCAGGGGTTAAGGAGCACCTCTGCCAACTGTAGCCTACCCAGATATGATGTTCAGTATCTGGGTCCTTTCTTTAAGTGCCCCCTTTCAGCAAAAAGAGGGAGGGCTATCTCTGTGGAGCCCCCCCCCCAATCTATGGAATGACCTCCCCACTGTGGCCCACCTGGTGCCAATCTTGTAATCTTTTTGCCATCTGGTTAAGAAAGCCCTTTATGCTGAGGTGTACAAGATACACACGGATATTTAAGGCCTCTTCCTCCCAATTAGCTTTGTTTTCATCACTATTAATAAGGTAACTCTGGAGAAATGAAGACAAATGTATTCTACCATGAAGCCACCTTGTCCAGCATTCCCCAACCTGGTACCCTCCAGATGGTTTGGACTACAACTCCCAGCATTCCTGAGTGCTGGAGAGTTACTGTGGTTAAAAATGTTGCACTGGGATTCAGGAGATCTGGGTTCAAGTCCACACTCAGTCATGAAGCACCCTGGGCACCTTTGGGCCATACTCTGACTCTCAGCCTAACCGACCTCATAGGAATTGTTCTGAGTGTGGAACCCAACTGCCTTGGGTTGCTTGAAAGAGGAAGAAAGGCAGAGTATAAAAGTAAGATTACTACTAATAATAATACTTTTGGCCATGCTAAACAGGACCTTATGGGAGTTAGTCCCAAACAGGTCAGAATAGGTAGCCTAGCCCCAATAACCTGCAGCAGCCCAGATGGGTTGGGCTACAATTCCCATCATGCCTGAAGGCTGTTTTACTATAACTAACCCTTAGCACATGAGGTGATCAGGGATTCCTCCCAGTCTCCCCTGCTCATCTTCAATTCCCTCTCTTGCATCTCATGGGTCTGCTTTTAACATTATCAGCCACATGGAGCAGAAATCTGTCCTGTCACTTTGTGCAAAGCATTCCATGCATGGATCTCAGCGTCATTACTGTAATTCCCTGCTCTGACCCACCAAGGGCACTGCGCCAAGTGCCCTCCCCACAAAGGAGGTCAAAGTCTTGTATGATGCCCATGAAAAAGACTCCCTGGATGATATTGTGATTCCTCCTATTCCCCCCCCCCGCCCCCGTTGCATCAACTTTGACATAGCTCAGCCTTCCCCAGCTGGTGCCTTCCAGATGTGCTACACTGCAAGTCTCAGCATTCCTGGCCCTTAGCCAGGATGGCTGCATGGGGTTGATAGGTGCTGACGTACCCACATCCAGAGGAAACCAGGCTGGCAAGGACTGGTATACCTTGGCAAGCTGGCAAATCACTCTGGAAATAAGTCCCTGAGTTGGGGCGGAGCAGGGGCGGGCGAGGGAAAGCTGAGACAGACGCCTCCTGTGGAACACTGCCCCCCGCTGCGTGGGAGCATCTCTCGCTCTGGGGAAAGGGGAAGGTGGAGCTGCCTCCACCTCCCCTGCCACAGTGCCATCAGCAAGATTGCAGATGGCATCTTCCCTGCTCAATTACTACCCAGCCCAACCCTGTAGAGCCAGTTCCCGGCGCTTGGGTTCCCATCTGACAGGTATCCTGGCCCAGAGCCAGAGGTGTCTGTGGGGAGACCGAGGCCGTCCGGGTAGCAGTAAAGGTGAAACTGGATGGGGATGCAAGAGCCCATCCCGGGGCCCTCTCGCTCTCCTCTCTCGCCCCCTCCAGGGCTGCCGCTTGGTCCAGCAGCTGTCTAAGAAAGACCGCGTGTGAAATCAGCCGGGCTCCGTCTGTCTGCCGTCGGCTGGGACAGGTGGCCACATAGTTGAGCTGTTTTGAGGCTGGGGGCTCGTCGGGCCAAGCACAGGCAGGGAAGGAGGGAGGGAGGGGAAGGCGGGTTCCCGCCAGGCCAAGGGCGGGCGACGTTCCCGATGCCAGATCGCGTCAACAGCAGGATCCTTCCCCTTCTTGACGCTTCCCGCCACAACCACCCCCGACACGCTCGCTCGCTCGCTCGCTCCGCACGGCTCTGCCCCAGGCGGCATCCAGTCGGAAAGCCTGTGCGAAGGGATGCTGTTCACGTGCCCGATGATCCTTTTCAGAGTGCACACAACACGCCACCCTTCCGAATGACCCACATCCGTACAAAGGCAGGTATCCGATAGGGGGGCACCCCATTCAAACAGCCCAGGAGCCATGCCCCCCCCCCCCCCAAACAGGGGAAACCACTCTGGGAGAACCCAGGCGCCCTACCTGTCATCGGACCATGTTTCACGTTTTTTCTAAAGCTGTGGGGAAGCACTCAAGAGTTCTGCCCCCTCTCAATACTCCCCCCCCCCGCGGCTTCCAAACCCAGGATCCTGACTCCATCGGCTGCAGAGCTGAGACAAGGATCCGAGCTACAATTGCCCCTGCATCCGCACCCACTCGCCCCGCGCCCGTTCACTCACCTGCCCTCTGCAGAGCCCGCGACCCTGGGAGCAGCAGCAGCAGCAGCAGCAGGCCAAAGACCACCCAGAGCATCTCTGGACGGAGTCGCCCCCTGCCCTGGGCACCGAGCCTGCCCCACAGCTGGAGGGCTCCAGAACAGCCAGGGTCCGGAACTGGAGCCCCAGCTGGTTGGAGGAAGGATGGGGGGCGGGTCTCTCTGCTGTCACAGCGCCAGCCAGTCGAGGATCCAGAGAGCTACATGGACGGTGGTGGTGCTGAGGGAAGCGGCGCGATCCAGTAGCTCTCTCCGGGGTCCGAAGCGATCTCTCAGTGGGGAAAGACCCTAGCCATTCTGATCCAGGGGGTCGGAAGCCCCCAGGTCCTCTTCTTGCTCCGGAGAAGCCGCTGTCAACGGCGGGTGGCGTGCGTATGTGCTGCGTAACTGGCCGTGGGACCTAGGAGCACATGTCCTTGCCCCCCTCTTGCGGGGGATCCCGGGGAGGCGCAGGCTGTCCTCTCCTGGCCTGAACTACCAACAATGCACGCACATCTGGGGCTCCAGCAAAGCGTCTCCTGCCGCCAGACGGGGCGAGCCGGAGGGGTTCCCTCCCGGCCCTGCCACGTTCCGAGCTGCACTCCGCGAAGGATTTCCGATCCAGTCGATCATCTCCCCGCAGGGGGTCCCAAGAATCTGGGGTGGGCGTACGCGGATCGTGATGAGATCTCGCCTCTCCCTCCTGCACTTGGTTCGCAGCTTCGTAGCTCAACAGATCTCGAATCTGGTAGATCTCTTGCCAGGAGTGCGATGCTTGGGGATCTCTCCCTCTCTCTCCTCCCCTCTCCGCCTCTCTTGGCTTCCCCAACCAATCCTTTCTCGTCGTCCCCCCCCTTCCTCCTTGTGTAAATCCGGAGTTGTTTCTGGGTCTCCCCCCTCCCGGGGGGCGGAAGGGAGGCTAGTGTGGATTAATTCTGGCTCCGCCAGGTGTCATGGCCAGGTGGGTTCCTTCCATCGCCCGGGGATCTGGCTGGACGCCTGTCGGGCTGCGCTGTTCAGTGGAGGATCCTTCCAGCCGCCTCTGTCGCCTCTCCAGGGATCCGATCGGACGCGAGCAGAGAGAACAGGGAAATCCGTCGAGGGGGGCGCAGCGAAGCTCAACCCTCCTGCGGGGAGACCTGCTGCAGCTTCGAGGGCGGAAGGTGAGGGGAGAGGGTCGGGTCCCGTCGCGGCTGGCCCCACGGCACCACCTGCGGCAGCCCCGGGGTAGATGCGGGGTAGCGGGGGCGCCCTCGGCTCGGGGACCGCTCGACGGAGCCGACCCCTGGCTGGGTTGCCGCCGCCGCCGCCGCGCTCCGCTCCGCTCCGCTCTGCTCTCCGTTCCCCCCAGCGCGCTCCCCAGGCAGCCGGAGGCAGAAAGGAAGGCGGCTCCTCCGCCATCTCCACCCCACTCCCAGCAGATCTCCCCGCCCCGACCGGCGGCCGCCCCTGGGACGTCCCATCCCGAAGGGGAGGGCCAAGAGAGGAGGAGGAGGAGGAGGAGGAGAAGGGCGGCGGCGGCGGCGGCTCTTCTGGCGGCGGCTTCTCTGCGGCCAGCCGCTCTGCCTCTCTCATCTCTGCGCGCCGCCTTGAAATCCGAGACGGGGCGGGGAGGAGGAGGAGGAAGCGGCGGGACGGGAGAAGGGGCGGGGGGGGGGGGGAGGATCAGCGCTCGGGGCTGGCGCGGGGAGAAGGAGATGCCCGGGTCTGTATTTGGGCCAAGGTTCACTCCCCGGAACCGCTTTCCAGCCCCTGCCTCGAAGCCCCAGGCAGGGACTGAAAAGAGGAGCAGATGGTCTCTGAGCACGTGCAGAGTGGATCGCTTCTTGAGCGTTTGCAGCATCCTCCACACACACCCGCGATTATTATAATTATCATTAGTGCATGTCGTTTGTACATAGGATGCGAAGAAATCTTGGTTCTTCAACTCCTGCTTCTCCTTCCCTCCCACGTGCAGTTCTTCTTCTAAAAGTGCCCAGGACTTGGCAGGGTTTCATGGGAGAACTTGTATTCCCCCTCGCCCCCGCCAGCGGCAATAATGCCAGTAGGCTTGGCCAATGGAACTGGGCATTGCCTCAACATCTGGAGACGTCTTTACTCCTCTCATGGCTACGTTTGGGCTTTCAGGATTACAGGCTTCTAGAGAAGTGCACCTCTGAAACATTTAAAATTAAGCAGGGGAGGGCAAATTGAATGGGGAGGGGGAAGGAGTGACCCTCTTTACTCCAGCAACTGTAAGAGTGAACTAAGCAAAGAACCACACCTCAATATTAATTCCAAAATAGAATTCTGGTAACAACCAACAGCAGTGAATCATGGAGTTCACAAACTGGATCATCCCTTTTTAATTCCAGGGTAGTGCACCTGGGAAAATAATAATAAACTTGCCAGCAAACCATCCTGAAAATCTGATCCTAGTTATATGGAGCTCAGCTCTGATTACACATTTACCAAAAATGTACTCTGTGCATGTTCGAAGGTACTTTTTGTTGCATATTATGCAGCCAAGTCCCGGCATCTTGTGCCTGCTTTTGTTCTGACGGTCAGTCTTATCAGAGGCTCAACCCCCACCCCCACTGGAAAAATGGATAGTTGAAGATGGGATTTCACCCTTGTAGTCTGCCATCTTCTGCACTCAGATGTGTTGGACTACAACTTCCACTATCCCCAGGCAGCCTGTCATTGGCTGGAGCAGTAGGCACTGTAGTCCAACACATCTGGGGAAGTGGTTAGGACTGGGGAAATCTGGGTTCAAATACAAACTCAGGCCATGCATTTCCCTGGGTGGCCCTGGCCAATCACCACCTCACAGGGTTGTCACGCAGATAAATTGGCAGGGGCGGGTGGTGAAGCTGAGGATCCGTTACCCTGAGCTCTTTAGAGGGAGGGCACAATCAAAAAGGCAGGCAGAGTCGGGGGTTTAGGAAATTTTCACATTACAATGTGATTACAATTTGAGAAACCTGTTTACCTGTTGATGCTCTCCTTCAAAGGATCTTGGGAACTGTGTGAATGGCTTGATTCAAAGTTCCCTAAAGTCAAAAAACCTTTCTGGTGTTCCCAAAGAGCTCCTTGTTTGGAAGACTGTGCCGCCAAAAACGAGGTCAGGCACATTTGCGGCACAGAGGTGAGCAGAGAAAATGCTGGATGTGGGTCACAGCTGCTAATTAAGGAAGAAGTGCTCAAAAAGATCAGACACACTAACGATAGACCCGGCAGATAGACCCGTCGAGGACTGAATGGAACTGGCACATCGCGCTAAGGCCAGTGGTGCAGGTCAGCAAGGTAGGGCACCTGCAAAGGGCTCGCATCCCAGCAGGGGCCCAAGGAAAGTAGCCCCTGGGGCTTGCAGCTCTTCTTCACCATGGCAACCTGCTTGTTCACCCACCACTTGCTCTGGTCCAGGCAGTGGTAGTGCTAGGGAAGAACAGGAGGTGGCAAGGCCTGCTTATTCAGTGGCTGTGTGCCCATCAGGCAGGCAGTGACCATGGTGTTAGGAAGCTCACTTTGCTGAGGGAGGGGCCTCGCCCACAGGCCCTTCCACTTCCGCCTTGACCAGACAGATCTCTATCTACTGTCACCACAAACAACAGGGGAGGTCTTTAACCTTCCCATTTTTCTTGGCTTCTTTCAGGGTGCTCTGACCGCCTGCTTTTGGGGAGCAGAATACTAGGGACCTGACCAGTCTCCCCCTGCCTGGAGGCTTCCAGATGTTCCAGACTGCAGCTCCCATCATTCCTTGCATTTCCAAGCATGGGCTTGTGCTGCATCCAGGAAGGCTTTACCTGCAGGTCAAGGGCTGCCCAGAAACCTTGACCGAACTTCGCACAGAGAAGGCTGGCTTGAGAGGCACCGCTGGCTGGGACAAAAGACACGAAGTTGCTTCCCACTCTTCTGTGTTTAAAGCTTACCAGGATTACCTCAGTCAACAGTGGCCTTGGGACAGCACCTGAGAGCAGCACTGGCTACAGAGGTCCTGTCGCCTCAGCAGCTCTGCCCACCTGCCGGCAAACGCCTCACTCCGCCCAGCAGCACGGAATGCAATGCAAAGCACCTGGAGCCTCGGCCTCCTTCCGCCAGCAGTAAGTAAATTTCCGAGGGAACGCAGCCATTGACCAAAAACACTTCCCTCCCTCAGCTCCCCATCAGCAGTCAAAGACTCTCAGCTCAACCCACCTCGCAGGGCTGTTGTGGTGAGGATAAGACTGAGAGAAAGAAGAGAGTTATATAATCCATCCTGAGCTCCTTGAAAGGAAAAGGTGGGATATAAATACACCAAATAAATAAATAAGCTCAAAAAGTTACTGTATGGGATACCAGTATGATAGCCATGAAATGGTTCAAACTATCTAGTGAGTTATATAAATGCTATCTTAGTAGTATTTGTAGTACCACCACCTTATGATATCTCTGCCCAAGTTGCAGTTGCTAAATCTCAGTGAGGTGGTAAACATGTGCCTGGGCAGCAGTCCCCTTAGACTGCGTGTGGAGGCACATGTCATCCCAACAATCCCTCCAGGAAAAACTGCAGCCACACAGAAAAGCCACTACCTCGCAGCATAGCCTGTCTCACAGGTTTCTTGTGTCATAGAACCATAGAAACTGAGTGAGTCGGAAGGGACCTCCCAGGCCATCTAGTCTGACCCCCCGGCTCCAGCCAGCTCTGCTCACGACATGCCTACCATGTGCATGCCTAGCCTATCCTTGAACACCCGCACCGATGGGGCTTCAACCACCTCCCGTGGAAGCCCATTCCATACCCCAGGGGTCATCTAGGCCTAGTGGTGGCAAAAGACCCGTTTCTGAGGAATCACATTTCATTTCATGTTAATTACATTTTTATACCATCCAATCGCTGAAGCTGTATAGGCAGTTTGCAAAGCTAAAATTCTTAAAAACACAGGATAATAAGTGTATACATACAAGGCAGAGAGAAACACACATATATCTAAAAACAATTTTAAACAATTATCAACAAGAAACATTCAAAACTTGACTAAAACTTCATCAAATGCTGCCAAATGCCTGAGAATAACGACATTAATCTGTTCCCCAAAAGATTGCAAAGTTGGTGCCTGGTAGGCCTTTCTGGAGAGATCATTCTTGGTGCCAAGAAGGGCTTCTCCCACATTGTGACCATCTGAGCCTCTGTCCAAGTGGGCAACTAGAAGAGAGCCTTAGAGGACAAACACAGATATGTTCATCCTGGGAGAGGCCCTCCATCAGGCAGTGCAGTCAAATAGTGCAACTACGTATGGCTTTACAGGTCAAAACCAGCACCTTGAATTGGGCTTGGGAACATGCAGGCGGGCAGTGCAATGGACTGAATGGTCCTCCATACCAGTGTTACAGGTTGGAATGTTTGGGCCCCTGCCAAGGGCCCATTCCCAGCAAGGGCCCACTGGCAAGCGCACTTTGGATTCAGACCTCCTCCACATCATTGTAACCTGATTATCCACCTACCTCTTGCTCTGGCACAGACAATGTTGGTACCTACTTACTTGCTGGCTCTTTGCACATTAAGGGAATGAGAATCAAAAGGAATGATGAGAAGGTAGTCCTCGTGAAAGAGGCATCCACTGAGGGTGCCTCTCCTAAGGGCCCTTCAAAACCTGGAGCTGACACATTCTGAGAACTAAGCCTGAGATGGCTCAGAACTCCTTGTGCTTACAAATAAATCAGGTAACTTACCCTATTTTAAGTCACCTTGAGCCGTGGTTTCTCTAGAGTCAGCTTAATGATACCGCTTAGAACCAGCCAGTCCTGTGTGGAACGAATCCATGTACTAGATGGAAGCCTCTTGCACCAAAGGATTCGTAGGGTGAAAGGAACATCAGCATGTTCTGGAGCCTCCTGATTCTTCTTGCCCTTGGTGGCTACTCGCCGGCCCTCTCTTAGAAAGAAAATGAGAACGAGAAGATGAGTAGCATTTCCTACCTCCCTTGCATTCTCCCTCTGAGCAGTTGTGCAGGTTTAGGACCAGAAGCTGAAGCCAAGCTAGTGGGTAGAAAGGATCCCACCATATAGGAGGACCCATAAATTAAAGGGATGGATGGATTTATTTATTTATTTATTGATCCTATGGCACATTCACATCACACTTCAATAAAAAACACAGGCATAAAAACATGACATACAAAATATAAGTTCCAAAACATTATAAATGTATATCTAAATTCAGATATAATATTTTGCTTAATTTGTCACAACCAGGAAATCAGCAAAGAGATGAAGCAACTCCCCTATGAGGA